TGCTCCAGGACACTTTTTGGCTGGACCTTCTGGTGTGAGCATTCCCGAGTGCCCCTGGGGCAGAGCCTGGCCCATTTCAGCCACACTATGCCTGCAGATCTTGCTGCGTGAAGCTGAGCAGGCCCTTCAGTCCTTTGGGAAATGAACCTGCAGAGGGTGAAACTCCCAGGTAGAACTGGGCCTGGCTGAGGAAGCTGAGCCATGCAGAGCAGAGGGTGCCATCCCCTCCCAATGCCACATCCCACTAACATACAAGTAACATACAAGCTGGTACTGGGAGCCGTGGCAGTGCCCAGCTGGGCCTCAGGGAATCCCGGAATCACAGGTTCTTGCCAATGGAAAAGCTCCCTGAGACTGTCAAGTCCAACCATTCCTCCAGAGCTGCCACACTCAGCACTAACCCATGTCCCCAAGTACTACATCCACATCTGTCATATGAAAAAGGATTTTCTATATTGCTAGTGTTGGAAGATTTACTTGACCCTTAGTGTTTAATTTGTCTCAGTGCCCCAGGAAAGCCAAGACCCTTATGCCTGAGCAGTCTGTCAGTGTTCCATTAGGGGGAGCCTTCCCCGGGCCATCCTGCTGGAACCGAGTGCTGCCACTGACTTATTCCAGCATAAGGGAGAGCCCTCGGCAGTTCTTCTCACTTTTTCACTGCTAGCGCCAGGGAAGGATTCACCCTCAGAGTTTACAGAATAACCCTCTTTATTGATATAAAACTGTGACAGGTTATAGTTTGAGGATTGTCTGTGATAGTACCTGTCAGTGATAGGATTTGTCAGTGATAGGATCTGACTGCATATATGTGTCCAAAGTAATCCCCAGACAAATTCTAATCCCCAATTAAAGCCTTCAGTGTGCAGAGAGTGCAGTTCTTACCCAATAGGTCCTGACAGGGAAGAAGGCAGGTTCAGCCCATTGACTGAGCCCAGCAGTAACCATGGAGTCTTCCCTCACTTTTCCCTCATTCTCAGCTTACTTTTTATGTGGTTTCTTTCTGTTTAGGTGGAACTTGAATGCCTCAAGTCATGCAGACCTTTATGTGTAAAATTGCTTTGCTTTGCTTTTAAAGATAGAGTCAAAAAACCCATCCCAGTGAGGGGTGGTCATACTTTGGGGGAGGGGGGGTTTACCTTTGGGATGGAGGAGTGTGTTAATGATACAGTTAGGCTTTAATGAACCGCGTTCATCAGAGGAAAGCATTTTCACCCCAGTTGTTGGCTCAGCAGCAGGACATCTCCTTCTGGCTGGCAGGTGCTGAGCAGTTTCTCAGCTGCAAAGCACCATTGAGTTTTTTCTAATATCCAACCTGAACTTCCCCTGGGGCAACTTGAGGTTGCTTCCTCTTGTCCTGTCCCTTGTTCCCTGGGAGAAGAGACTGATCCTCCCCTGGCTGTAAGTCCCTGAACAGAAAGCTCCTGCTCCTCTGCATCCCTGGGTTCTTCTGGGTGCTGCTGGGGAGATGGGAAGGCTGCAGCAGGTGAGAGGCAGAGGGACAGCCCCAGGCAGCCCCAGGTTACAGAGACCATGAGACACCACTCTGCTGCTGGGGAGACACTGGGAAGTGAGCTGGGATGGGCTTTGGGCTCTCTGCACTCCCAAAAGGGGCCGAGAGTGTCCCTGTGGCACACAAGGCATCCTGTGCCAGCGCAGAAGGGGCCAGGCCTGGGCCTCTCTCCCTCTGCAATGGGGTCCTTCACAAACCTGCTCCCCTTCTGGCTCCTTCAGAGCAAAGATCAGAGATGGAGTTTCCAGTGGTAGAATTGGGGGATACAGGGATCCTTTCTGAAGCTCACAGGCAGCTTGTAACCCACTTGCTCTCCTTCCTCTGGAGAAAAGGAGTATGAGTAGGAGAGCCTCTGAAACCTGGCAGCCCCTGCCTTGCTCCTGTGGGATGGAGGCTGGAAGGGGCAGGTCTGCCCAAGTCTGCTGCACCATCTCCTGCACCCTGGCTTAGACACAGCCTCTGAGCCATTTAGCAGAGGCTTCCCATCCCCCAGGGAAAGGATGCTCATTCCCAAATGCTGCGGTGACATCAGCTCTGGGATATGTCTAATGCTCTACAAAGCCTCAGGACACCCTGTTGGAGATCCCTGGCCATCAGGAGCAGCTGCAGGGAGTGGTGTTTTGGTTGACAGCTGCTTAACATGAGTGGTCAGTGTACCCAAGTGGGCAAAGAGGCCAGTGGCATCCTGACTTGTACCAGCCATGGTGTAGTCAGCAGGACCAGTGCCCGTCCCTCTGTGCTGACACTGTTGAGGCACCTCCAGTCCTGGAGGCAGTTTGGGGGCTCTTATGTAAAGAGAGACATTAAGTGGCTGGAGTGTGTACAGAGAAGGGAATGGAGCTGGGGAAGGGTCTGGAGCACCAGGAGTGGCTGCGGGAGCTGGAGGGGCTGAGCCTGGAGAAAAAGGAGCCTCAGGGGGGACCTTCTAATTTTCTACAACTTTCTGACAGGCAATTGGAACCAGGTGGAGGTCTGGCTCTTCTCCCAAGTAGGAGGCAATAGGACAAGAGGAAATGGCCTCAATTTGTGCCAGGAATTTCTTAGCCCAGAGTTCACAGCAAAATTCCTATGGAATCTGGTGCCAAAGCTTTCCAGGTCCAAAGGAAGCAGCTCCCTGCTGCCCTCCCAGCCCTCCTCCCTTCCTGCCAGTTTTAGTTGCACAATCCCAGCAGCTGCAGCAGCCTGGGCTCCCCAGCTCCTGCCAGCAGAATGCCTGCCTCCAGTGAGCTGTGGTGCCTCGGGAGAGGAGTGGGAGAAGAAGGGCCCCTGAGCCTCAGAGAGCAGCCATCAGGCTCCTTGTGTCAGCTGCCTATTCTTCAGTACCCTCTTCCATTTGTCGAGGAGAAAAAGGCCAGCCCAGGCCAGAGAAATTCAGTGTGAGCCTTTGCCAATGGCATCCTGGCCTCCCTTGGCAATCCTGCCTGTGGCCACTGCCATCAGGAGCACTGGAGCATCCAGCTTCTCTCCAGCTTCACCTGCTGCAAGGGCTGGCAGATCCTCATGGAGCACAGATGCGCCAGGGGCCCCCAGGGCAGCAGCTCAGGGTGGGAAGCCATTTAGCCACCAGCAAAATTGTTCCATTCTCCTGACTTCCCCTCCAGGAGCTTCCTGTGTAGCTGCTCCTGGAAGTGGCAGCCTTTTGCTGACCTCGAGGTCCAAGGAACAGACTATTGATGGATGGAATCTTCCAGGGCACTAAAAATGCCTAAGAAAGGGAAGATCCTTTCCCTCTCTGGTGCCACCTGTCTCCTCTCCCTGTGTGGGGTTTGCTGGGATCAGGGAGGGTGTGCCATTCCCCTCCCTGCCCTCCTCCACAGGAAGAAGGGGAGTGCCAGAGGGGGATAGATCCAGGGCTCTGTTTCCCAAGGGGATGGAGAGCAGGAGTTTTGTACCCCAGCAAGCTGCAAATCAGGCAGGAATGAGCACATGAGGGGACACCTAAACTCCAGCTGGGATGTGGGGTCCTGCAAGGGCTCTGAGTACAGACAGATCTTTCAGTGTGGGGTCATGCTGCAGGGTCTACACACGGACCTCAGGGTGTAAACAGCATCCCCTGGAGTCTTGGAATCGTTTGTCACAAGGTCCTGAGCCTTCCTGGGCTCCTGTACTGCCCTGGCATAGAAACACACAGGAAAAATGGAAAAGCAGCTTTGAAGCCCTGCAGACATACTTTCTGTAGGCTGCTCTGGGAATATTTGGGCTCAGAGGGACACATATGAGGGTACAGAGGGTGTGTGGGACATCAGGGAAGGGCAGCAGTGTCTCTGCTTCTGCACTGCTTTGGCCTCTTCACATCTAAGCCCTCTCCCTTCACAGGGAGCCAGCCTCTCACCTGTCCTCTAGCTGTTCTGAGAGTGTTTTCCCAACACCCCTGCAGCCCTTCCCATGCAGTTTGGGACTGTGCATTTTTGTCCCCCTCTCTGTCTGCACCCAGAGCAGCACTGGTGTGGTGGGTTCCCATGGGAGCCATTGCCAGAGAGTCTCTCCCCTGCTCTGCAATTTGTTACAAGAGACTCAATCCCAGCCTAGGTTGGGTTGGAAAGGATCTCAAAGCCCATCTTGTCCCACCTCCTGCCATGGGCAGGGACACCTTCCACCACCCCAGGTTACTCCAAGTCCTGTCCAACCTGGACCTGGACACTTCCAGGGGTAGGGCAGCCACAGCTTCTCTGGGCACCCTGTGCCAAGGCCTTACCACCGATATTGTACAGCAATTCTTGCTGAAGTATTATAAACACGTTTTTATCTGTGGAAAAGCTACAGTAAGGCCTCCCTGGAACCTTCTCCAGGCTGAACACCCCCATCTCTCCCAGCCTGGCTCCAGAGCAGAGGGGCTCCAGGCCTTGGGGCAGCTCCGTGGCCTCCTCTGGACTCGCTCCAGCAGCTCCAGGTCCTTCCTGTGCTGGAAGCCCAGGGCTGGAGGCAGCTCTGCAGGTGAGGTCTCACCTGAGTGGGCCACAGGGGCAGAATCCCCCCCTGCCCTGCTGCCCACGCTGGGGGATCAGCCCAGCACAGGGGGGTTCTGGGCTGCCAGAGCACGTGGCTGGGGCACGTTGAGCTTCTCATCCACCAACACCCCCATGTCCTTCTCCCCAGGGCTGCTCTAATCTTCAATCAATCCAATCTCCAATCTTCAAACGTCTCTTTTAATTTAGAGGAAAACGTTCAGCAGAACAAAATACCGACCGAAACATCTCGGAGGTGCTCCCGCCGCCTGGGAGCCAGCCTGGAGCTTTTAGTGCCCCGGAGGCTCCTTCCCCGGTGCTGTGATGGGGGTCCTGGGCATTGTCAGTCGGTGCCGGCGCTGTCGGGGCCGCTCCGGCCGTGCCGTCCCCCCAGCAGTGACATCAGTCCCGCCGCCGCCCCGCGACCCGCCCTGCCCCGCCAGCCACAAAAGCGCCGAGCGGCTGCCCCAGCGCGGCTCCCAACACCGGCACCGGCAGCAGCATCAAACCCCACACCGAGACCGGCACCGGCACCGGCACCGGCACCGGCACCGACCCCGACCCCGACCCCCGATTTGACACCGACGCCGACACCGTCCCCGGCCCGGCCGCAGGTGGGTGCGGGGCCAAGGCGGCCGCCGAGTCCCGCCGAGCGCAGCGGAGCCGCCTCCCCTCCCGTGCCCGGGGCTGCCGCGCCTCCAGCCCGGAGCTGCCTCCAACCCTCTCTCCATCCCTCCCTCCCTCCCTCCCTCCCTCCCTCCATCCCCTGAGGATGCCCCATCCCAGCGCCCCCCAGCCCGCAGAGGGGGAGATGCGGGGCTGGCGAGGGGCACAGCCCCGCCCTGTGTCCGTGGGGTGGGCACGGGAGCGGCGGGACCCCCTGAGGCTGCTCCCAGTGCCGGAGCAGCCGCCCACATGGAGGGATGCGGAAGCAGAAGCTCTTGCATCAGATGGACCGAACTGAGTAAAGCTCATTTCCAGGGACCCTGAGGCAGCTCAGCTGTGGGCTCAGGTCAGTTCCCAGAGGAGATTTGCACTGCTGTGCACCAGGCTGGGCATAGGCTCTTGCAGAATTCCAGATGCTGCTTTTCAAACCTCGGAGCTCTCAGCCCGTGAGAGGGGGGTTCAGGAGCGCTGGGCAAGAGCCCCGGATGCTGCCAAGTCCCGGTATCGGGTCCTCTGTCTCTCCCTGCATGAGAAGAGGCCAGTGCTAAAATAGTGTGAGGGGCGAGGCTGGCTTTGGGCGCTGCTCCTCCTGGCTCCAGAAGTTGGGGAAGGGTGAGAGAAGAAGCTCTGCAAGGAGCAGCTGTGGTCATTTGGTCTGTTTGTTCCTGCTGGAGGAGCCTGAACTCAGAGCTCCCCGGGGTCTGCAGCTCCTCCCAAGGGGCAGCGGAGGGACAGCTTCAATCTCTGCTCAGGGTGAGCAGGTACAGGACCCAGGGAAGGGCTGGAGCTGTGTCAGGGCAGGGTTAGGCCGGATACTGGGGAAAGGCTCTTCCCCCAGAGGGTGCTGGGGAAATGGGCACGGCTCCGAGGGAATGGGCACGGCCCCGAGGGAATGGGCACGGCCCCGAGGGAATGGGCACGGCCCAGAGGCCGCCAGAGCTCCAGGGGAGTTTGGACACCACTCCGGGGATGCACAGAGTGGGATTGTTGGGGTGTCTGTGCAGGGCCAGGGTTTGGATGTGATCCTTGTGGATCAGTTCCAGCTCAGGATGTTCTGTAATTCTGCTGGGGGTGAGGCTGGCAAAGTGCAGTGGGCCCTGGGGAGGATTCAGCCCTTCCTAAGGAGCTCAGGGCTGTGCTATTGCAGTGGGTCATGGGCTCTGTGCCAGCCTCTGCTGTCCCCTGGATCAGGGGCTCTCCAGCCTGGGTGGCAGTGCCTGAGCGCTGCCTCAAAGCAGCTGAGCTCAGCTCTGTGCTCCTGGAAGGCAGCACCGAGTGGGGAGCTGCAACCAACTGAGGCATTTCAAGGAAATCCCAAATTTCATTTGGGAAAGCTCAAGTGAGCTCAGTCTGGTAAGGGATCTTGATCGCTGTGGGAGTCAGGAGCTTTTCTTGGCACCACTTGAAAATGGTGCTGCTGTTGTTCTGGTTCAAGTTGGGGTTTTCATGGAGGACCCTGCTTCCAAGGAGCCTTTGTAAGCCACGTTTGGGAGCAGAGGCCTGTGGCTGTGAGAGCTGTGTCTGGCTGGTGGCTCAGCACCGTGCTGGCCTCTCTCTTCTCTGCACAGCCAACCTGAGGCTGCCTTGGTGGCAGAATCATTTGATTGCTGGTGGAGTCAAGCCTGACTGCTCTTGGAGTCACGGAATAGATGAGCCACATATGAGCATCACTCTGGAGCTCAGAGCCTCCTGACTTCTTTCCCTCCTATCCCAGCGAAGCCCTCAGAGGCATCTGATGTGATCCAGCTGCATCTCCTGGGGCAGTTCTGTGATTTCTCTCAGGTAATTCCCAGTGTTTTTCCATGTCTCTGAGCTCACCAGCCTCAGGTCCCCATTCTTGTGCTCACCAGTTCAACATCACTGCCAATGATCTTCATGATCTTCACTTATCCTTGCTTACACTGTTGGTAGCCCAGAGTTTCCTCACGTCACTGCTCCTCCCAGCTCATGACACAGCAGGGGACCAGGAGACAGTTCTAGCTTGCCCCTTGTAGGGCTATTCCCACCTGTGCCCAGGTGAAGGGAAAGCTGCTCTGTGACAGTTCCTGTTGGCCTGGGACAGAATCCCCCATGGGACAGCAGGTCCCAGTGATGAACCCCTGGTACCATGTCCTGGGGCTTTCCCAGGGGATGTTCTTTGGTGTATCCCTGGGAGCTGGTTGCTCTCTGCTCTGCCCATGTCTCATCTGTCTGGATCCTTCTTGTTTCAAATTTCTGCCCATTTTGTGGCCATGCCAGCTGCTCTCTAAAATGGAAGGCACTACTCAGACCCCACGGCCTGGGGCTCCTGCTGTGGCTTCCTCCCCTTTGATTCTTCCCTTTGCCAGGCCATGAATTGAATCTGCCTGGACTGCTGTAAACATGCTTGTGAGTGAATTTTGTGCAGCACTGATGGTGCTCGTCTGTCATTCACTTGTTTTAATGCTCTCATTGGGGAAAAAAAAACCTTTTTATATGGGTCAGCATGAGTCTGCTGTTCCTCAGTGATCTCCAAACACAAAGTGATTGCTCTGCAATTAATTACTGTAGGATTTTAGTAGGGCACAGACATGGGAAGATTTTCCAGCTATTGCAGAAGGCTGAATGGGTGAGCTGACATCCTGGTGGCTGCAGGGATGTTCCTTAGAGTGTGACGGAGTAGGACCTGCCCTGCCCTGAGTGCTCCCATGGCCATGGAGCTGCATCCACACAGCCACAGGCGTTGCTCCAGCTCTAGCAGGTCCCGCCCAGCTGCTCTGAGGAGGGCAGGGTGGAGGGTGTCAGCTTCGGGGGCAGTGACAGGAACACACTGACCTTTTAACCCACTCGAAAAAGAGGATGACTCTGCTTCCCCTGCCTGATGGCTGCATCAGCTCACTGCATCCCCTTACAGCCAGTGATGACATCCCAAAGCACCAGTACATACCAGTTCCATACTGGTTTATGCTTTGCTTGTTCAGTGTAGCTTACACTGCCTCCCAGACTGGTGCAGCACAGCATCTCTGAAATGTGAGTCTGAGCCCAGATTTCATAGAACCACAGACAGGTTTGGGTTGGAAGGGACCTCGAAGGTTACCCAGTGCCACCCCCTGCCATAGGCAGGAGCACCTTCCACTATCTCAGGTTGCTCCAAGCTCCATCCAAGCTGGTCTTCTCTGGAGAGCTGCACTGCTGCAACATCAAACTCTGGAATTGGAGTTAATCTCCAGCAAGTATCAGCCTTGGGTGGTTCTGCACAAGCCTCCCCTGTATCTGTGCTCCCCACAGTGCAGCTGCTGCTAAAGGACGGGATCTAGGTTTTGGGGGCCTCTTATCTGTAGTGGATGATGGAGTGGCTCCAGGGCCAAGCCCTGCTTGGCACTGAGAGTGATGTTTGTAGGGCTCTGAATATGTTTGCTGGGAGTTGTGGAGTCGCAGAAGGAAGGAGAATTATCTTGTTTTTTTGGCAGCCCAGGGATGTCCCCCTTGCCTGTGCTCAGTGAGGTCACTGGCTGCAGGACTGTCACCTCCTGTGCCTTATTTTGCATGGGGCTCAGAGTGTCTTGGAGAAGTGTGACTGTGGTCACCAAGAGTTATAATTGGGCAAAATATGCAAAGTATTCTGGAAATAGTGCTGAAAGTATTGCAAACACTCTGACATATCTTAAAGTGGCCATTACTTAGGTAATTGGGAGGATGGATCTATCTGGATGGCAGTTGTGAGGACTTTGCTGGTCAGGTTCAGGTGCCCAGAGCAGGGTTTTTCTATTCCTGATTTTTTGCTGCTGATGCCAGCCTATAGCACAAATTTGGTCTCTCTGTGGCCTGCTGGGCTCACAGCTTGTGGGGGTTGTATTGTGGACTAACAGGGAATTCTCAGCAACTAAGTCTTATCTCAGGTTTCTCTGTGTCCAGCTGTGAGCCCCCACATGGATCCCCAGGACAAACTTATTTCCATGGTGTGTTCCAGGAGGTTTTACTGGGATATGGCTTTGCCTGGGGCTGTGTTTGTGCTTTGTGGTGAGAGTTACCTGCTCAAATCACCTGGCATCATTTAAACTGAGTGGAGGCACCTGCAATCTTCCCATGGTGGATTGAGGAAAATCAGCAGCAGAAGGGCTTGGACTCTTGTAGCAAATGTCAGGTGAGCTTCACCCAGAAGCAGTTCTTCTCCTCCTGTAGGCAGCTCAGGGGAAAATGTTCCCACTGCTAATCTCTTGGTTTGGACAGGGTAGCCCTGATGTTCAGGTCAAACAAAGCCTCTTCCTTCACTGCTGCTGCTCTGGGGGGAAGAAAATGAGCTGTGGAGGCAAAGGGGTCCCAAACCGTGGGGTGCACTTGTGGATGCTCTGGCTCTGGAGCAGGGAGGACTAACAAGAGGCTGCCCCCAAAAACAGAGCTGGGAAATCCCGGAGATGGGGTCTGCCAGCTGTGCTGGCTGGAAAGGGATGGGGGACCTAGAAAAATTGTAGGCAGTGATGTGTCATTCCTGAGGTGGGATCTGACACAGGGGCTGAAGGGGCGGGTGGACTGGAGGATGCCATGCAGGGCTCAGGGGCTCGCAGGGGGTGCTGCTGGGTGGTTCTGCCCTCCAAGGAAACTCCTGAACCAGGTCAAGCCCTCGTCCTGATCAAGGAGAAAAACCAGGCTCTGGAGAGAAACAGCCTGTGTCCTTTTAAGGCAATCCAGAGGCTGGGACTGGAAGAACCAGGCTGAAAGGGAGGGATTTGGCGCAGTGGGAAGCCCAGCCTGTGGGACCTTTGGACAAGAGACTTCCCAGCTGCTGTGATCACACCCCAAACACGGCTCCCAGCAACCTGGGAGCCAGCACAGCCTCTCCAGCCCCTGCTCCCAGCACCCTCCACTTCTCTGTCTGTCCTGCACTGAGGCCCTCTAGGTAGGCATCTAGGAGCTGTGGCCAGGATAAAGTGGAGTCACCAAGTCAGTTCTGACCCCTGTCCTGACCCCTGCCCGGGTAACCAGGCTGGGATCAGTTTCCCTTTTCCTGACAAAATATCTCACACAGGGAAGATCTTGACTTCCCCATGACCGGGAGGTGCAGGGATCTTGCTGTGCCTGAAAGCCCTGCATGCTCCCCCATCTCTATTTGATGTTTGTACAACTCCTGCCCCCCAGTCCTGCTGGGTTTAGTATCCACCTCCCCAGGTGGGAGAGCCACTGGGATTGGAGAGTCATGGATGGGGCTTCAGCTGCCTGGGGTGACCCAGGATCTGCTGCAAGGGAGTGGCTCCAAGGCTTCTGGTGTGCCCTGACAGACCCAGGTCCCTTCCTTATCTCCACACAGCTGAGGTGAGGGAGATGATGGCATCCTAAATACATGGTGGGCTGGCTTGTACTCTGAAATGAAGTTTAGTTTTGGGGACCTTGTCCTGCTGTTTTGGAGACCTTTAGCTGTTCAGGGGTCAGGAAGCATATGGTGACTTCTGCTGCTTGTCCCCAGATGGGAGCAGGATGGGGAATTACAGAGGTGTTGATGGAAAGAGTCCCTTGGAGACCTCTCAGGCTGCAGCTTGTGCCTATTGGACCCCTCCAAAAAGTGTTTTGTTGTCTTTGTAGTAACCCCAGGTTGCTGTTTGATTGTCCTTAGCTTCCTCTTGGCCACACTCAATCAGCCTGGCTCCCTCAGAATCTCCTGGCAGGACTTTGTTGTGTGAATGTATTGAGGTTTATGTTGACCTGGTCTTCACAAGTGTCAGGGCCCCTCTGGGCTGGAGCTCTGCTGCTCATGTAAGCAGCTCACAGTATTTTGGGGTTATCTGCAAATCTAAGGGCCTCTTGTTGGTGTCTCATCAGACACAGTTCGGGAAAGATAAGAGAAATAGAAGCATTTATAGCCTGCTGAGGAACTGGATGGTAGCTTAGGCTGGTGCTCAGGTCTTTGCCCTGCACTGTCTTCTTGATTTCAGATTCTCCAGGCTCCATGACCCTGCCTGCAGTCCTGGAGGAGACTGAGATACTGGAGTGCAGGGAGTGCCTGGGAGGGCAGGAGCTGATGGTGCTGTGGGACATGAGGCAGAGCCTGGGGTTTGGTGGTGTCAGGAGTCAGCTCCTGCCCCCGGGGCAGCCCTGACTGTTCCCTGCCCTGCAGTGGCTGAGATGGAAGAGCTGGTCAGGGAGGAGAAGCTGGGACTGTGTCCAGGGGTGTGGCAGCTGTCACTCTGGCGCCAAGGCTCAGTCACAGTCACCCTGGCATGGCATGGGGTGACAGGAGGGCTGTGACCTGAGGAGGTGCCTGGCTAACTGTGAGTGATGTCTCCCAGCATTGTGGTGGCTTCCTCTCTTTTCCTGGCACTGACAGGAGCTGTGAAGTCCCTCGGCTCCAAGACAGGGATTTCTGCTGCTCCTGGCAGACAGGACCAGTGGTCCCTGGGAGGCAGCTGGCACTGCTGGCTCCCTGAGTTCTGTTGATTCTGCTTGTTGCCAGCCCTGCAGTCTGTGCACGTGTGGAAAGCTGCTGGAGCTCCAGTGCCTGCTCCAGCTGCTCCATCCTGGCCCCACAGAGCCCTGCCCCTGTGCCTGACTGTGCCTTCTCCTGCAGGATGCCAAACTGGGGAGGAGGAAAGAAGTGTGGGGTGTGTCAGAAGGCCGTGTACTTCGCTGAGGAGGTGCAGTGTGAAGGCAACAGCTTCCACAAGTCCTGCTTCTTGTGCAGTGAGTATCACCCCTTCCCTGACCCCCTCTGTTTTCAGGGCAAGGGCTCCTCAGGATCTCTCCAAACCCCCAGCATGGCAGGAACATGGATCATCCCAGGACACATGGGCTCTCCAAGCTGTCAGGGCTGACCTCAGCCAGCACCCACACAAAGACTTAGTCCATCCCTACTCCAGGGAAAGGCCAGGCAGGGTCCTCTGCTCTGTGTCCAGATGTTAAGGATTGGAGCATGAGACAGGGCCTCTCCCAGCAGTGAGGCTGGCTGTAGCCTTCTAAGTGGCTTTGCCAGTGTCTCTGGTGTATGTTTGGACATGACACCCCCAAGTGTCACCTCTGGGGAGGGGCAGCAGAACAGGATTTGGCTGCAAGTGATCCAGTGCTGAGCTCCCCTCCTCTGCCAACTCTGCAGGATCCTACAAACACTGCTGGGATCCTGCTGCAAGTCCCCAGTCACCCTTCCCTGCCTTTGGGGATCCCAGGGCCGGTGGTGTTGCAGTGCTGAGAGCATCTCCTTAAACCAGGGACATCCAGAGGGGCTGCAGGACATTTGATTGAAGAGATAAGCAGTGTCCTCAGCCTGTGTGGTACCAGATTACTGTCCTCTGTCCCTGGACACTCTCACGTAGCAGAACCAACCAATGATTCTCCTGTGCCTACAGGAGATGGGGCTTGGAGCAACCTGGTCTAGTGGAAGGTGTCCCTGCCCATAGCAGGGGATAGGACAAGATGAGTTTTAAGGTCCCTTCCCACCCAAACATCTCTGAAATTCAGTGGACAGGAGCACACATGTTGCCTGTGTCTGCTGATGGCTCCTCAAGATGTTGCATCTGCCAGAGAGCAGCAGAAGTGCATCTCCAGGGTGGCCTTGCAGCAGGGGCCCACTGAGGTTTTTATATTTCCTTAGCTGGTGCCAGTCTCACCATCCCATCACAGCAGGGAGCAAAGCTGGGATATTTTCCATAGGGGCACCAAGCAGAGGTGGGATCTGGAAACAGGCAAACTCTGGAACTGATGTCTTCCAGCAGGGAAACTCCAGTGACTCATGGGATGATCCCTGCCATGCTCCTGTGTCCACCTAGCCTGGCTACTGGCTACTTCTTGTCCATCCTGCCTGGGATGTAGCATGTACAGCTGGATCCAGATGGCAGAGAGGGACAGGGAGGCTGCTGCTCTGTCTGTGCTCCCTGCAGTAGGGAGGGTGGCCAGCATGGCTGGGAGCTCCCATTTGTGGGAATTTCCAGGCTGCAAACTTGCTTTGGCTGGTAGGGCTCAGCAGGGAGAGTTGTAGAGGCTTTTTTCCTGGGCAGGACGAGGGTGGCAGGCTGGGTCTGTATGGCAGCTGCTCTGAGGGAAATCCTGTTTGTTCTGTGGCCTCAGATAAGGAGGGTGGGGAATGTTGCCCTCACCCCTTGTGCACACAGCTGGTTTGCCAGAGAAAGCTGCTGCCATGGGATGCTGGCAGCCAGAGAGCAGGGCAGGCCTCCAGGAACCACAAAATGAGGCTGAAGGTATTGCTTCCAGGTGGGAATACATGGCCAGAGTGGGGAAGAAGGTCCCCTGTGTATGTTCATGGAAGCAAGTGCCCAGGGAGTGGTTCTCAGCTCAGGGCTACTGTCCCTGTGCTTTGCAGGCATTTGTTACGCCATTCCACATGTACCCAGCAGCTCTTCCTGTCCTGGCTGTGGCTCCCCAGCTCAGGCTGTGGCTCGTGTGCCAGCCCACCCTGCTTCCCACTGTTCCCAGTCCGTGCTACAGACTGTGGGTGGTGCTCCTGAGCGCCTGCATTCCCAGCCTGCTCCCCAGTGCTGCATTGGGCCCCATCAAGGAACTTGAAACCATTATCTTTAGGGGAGAATAACAAATACTTCAACCAGATCTGCCAAAAACATCATCTAAAAGCAGCCAAGTCTACCACAGTGCATTAGAGCTCAGGGAGCAACTTGGTGATTGACTCCTGGCTGTGATCCAGCTGCCTGGATAGTGCAGTAGAAGTGAGCTGGAATGAGCCCCTTGGCCTCGGAAAGCAGAAGCAGCTCTTGTCTAATTGTTTTGCTGAGCAGTTCAGTTCCTCTTAGAAAAACAAAGGGTCCTTAACTCCGTGAGTGCAGTGCACTGGAATTTCTGCAATGCACAAACTCGGGGGCTGGGTAAAAATTCTTTCTGTTGCCTCTCAAAGCTCTGTGAGTACAGATGAGGGACTGTGCAAGCTTGGTCTGGAGCTCCAAATCCATCCAGATGCCACTGAAATCGTTCACTGCTACCCTGGGACAAAGCTCAGGACAAATCCCTTTGAAATGCCAGTGAAAGTGCCCACATTCCTTCCTGATGGTCTGCCAGAGCAGTGTCACTCCAGGGCAATGCAGAGATCCCAGCAGCAGCCCAGGAGCTTGGCAGCTTTGGAACCAGTTCCCAGCTCTGGTCTCTCCCAGCTGGGATCTGTTCCCATCCCCAGCTCCTGCTGTGGTGGGAGCCTCTAGCCAGGAGAGGACTCTGCCAGAGCCTCCTTAGATGGCAGGACATGCTTCCCTTTTGTCCTCCTTGTCCCTGCAGAGGCACACGGGGTTCTCCTGTCTGTATTTAGTCATGGAAGGGCTGCCTTCTGCCCCTGTTCAGTTCATGCTGCTCCGAGGGGAGAACTCTGCTCTGTTTGCATTCCTGTGATATTGAGAAAGGCCAAGAAACTGCTCTGCTGGCCAGGAAGCTGCTGGAAGCCTCGACATTTAAGGTGTGGAAAGCAGGATGGGGGAAGCTGTGTGGCAGCTGCAGCCAGATCTGTTTGGGGCTGGCTGCCAGCACTGCAGACTCTGCCCAAGGAGCTGGGATCCTCCACAGGGTATGTGAACACTGGACATCACCTGCAATTTGGGTGCTGGTGGCCTCCTGCTGGCTGGGCAGGGTGTCTCAGGAAGTGCTGGGAAGGAGCACTGGGAAGTGAGCAGAGCTGGAACAGGAGCTGGTACTTCCAGGACTTCAAGGGGGTTTATAAAAGAGAGTGACTTTTTACACAGGCAGATAACGATAGGAAAAGGGGGGATGATTTTAAACTGAAAGAGGAGCAATCTAGATTAGATATAAGGGAGAAAGTTAGATTAGATGTAAGGAAGTAATTCTTTACTCAGACGGTGGTGAGGCATTGCTTCCCAGAGAAGCTGTGACTGCTCCACCCTTGGAAGTGTTCAAGACCAGGTTGGACAGGGCTTGGAGCAACCTGGGACAGTGGAAGGTGTCCATAACACAGGGTTGGAATTGGATAATCTGAATTGAAGGTCCCTTCCAACCCAAACCAGTCTGTGATTCTCTGGAAACCTAAAAATCAGGAGAAGGCCTGAGCCCAGCACCAAGCTCAAGCTCTGGACGGGCTCAGCAGGGCCCCTGAAACTGGCTGCCATCTCCTTCTGTCCCATCTTATGTCCCACATTGATCCCCAGGGCTCAAACAGCCAGCTAAGTTAGTGTTCCTCACCTGAGACCCCTGCCATGCACACCCCTAAAGAGGGGCAGGACCAGGGCTGAGGTGTCATATGAGCCTTTTGAGCTCTGGAGAGGTGACTGTGCCCAATGTGTGAAGCTCTTGCAGTGCCTCAGATGTGGTGATGGCCACAGGGCTGCTCTTGGATGGCTCTTAGTCCATCCAAACACCGGGAAAACCACATTTGCTCACATTTCTTTGTCTTGAGTGTTTCCTGCTGTGGATTTGCAGTGGAGGAGGCATGGGACCAGGACATTGATCCCCAGGCTTGAGAATCCTGCAGTGTTTCATAGGGAAAATTCACCCCCGTGGTTTAAGTGCAGCTGCAGGAGAGCAGCACCCAGAGGGTTAACAGAGCTTTCCTTCCCTTGGTATCACTGCTGGCTTTGGTGTTTGCTTCCTTTTAAAGCCAGACACTGCTCTTGTTGTGATCCTTATCTGCCCTGGTTTGCATGTGCTCCCTGCAGCTGGATCCTGGCGAGGGTTTCCCTGCTCCTTGAAAGCTGAGCTGTGCTGTCCCTGTGAGGACTTGTTTTCCCCAGCTAATTAGTGAGCTCCGGCGGAGCAGGCTGATGCCACACCCTCCCCTCTGTTCTAGTGGTCTGTAAGAAGAATTTGGACAGCACCACTGTGGCCGTGCATGGTGAGGAGATCTACTGCAAGTCCTGCTACGGGAAGAAGTACGGCCCCAAGGGCTACGGCTACGGGCAGGGAGCAGGGACCCTGAGCACTGACAAGGGCGAGTCCCTGGGAATCAAATATGAAGAGTGAGTTTAAGCTTTGTTTTTAACACCAGGGCTGTGGGCACCTTCTCCCCACACCTGTCCTGTGGTTCTTGGCTGTGCAGCCTGTACTGAGCTCCCAGCAGTGTCCGTGGGCTGCCTGGCCCCTCTGCCCCTCCAGGGAATCCCACTGAACCCTGTTTAGTGGATGGGATGGGATGGGACATGTCCTCATTGCCTGAGCACCCTGCCCACCCCCTCCCAGCACACAGCGCTCAGGCTGGACTTTCCATGGGGCACAACACATTGTTCCTGAAGTTCCCTTATAAACTGGGGATTTGGGGTCCCGAAGTTCTTACCTGCTCCATTGTGCTTCTCTGATTGTGAGCTCCCTGCCACCCACAGGGGCCAGCCCCACCGACCGCCCAACCCCAATGCAGCCAGGATGGCCCAGAAGGTGGGAGGAGCTGATGGGTGCCCCCGCTGTGGCCAGGCCGTGTATGCAGCTGAGAAGGTCATTGGAGCTGGCAAGGTAAGGGGATGGGGGGCACAGGGGCAGGGACACTCAGGAGGGGTCTGGACCTGCACTCAGCCAGGGCTGGGCTTGGGTCCAATGGCCACGTTCACCTGGAAGCCAGGTTGTCCAGGCTGCAGCGATCTCACAGACTTGTAGATGGAGGAGAAATACATTTTATATTAAATATTTACAGCCCTGCTCAGCGGAGGCCACAGTGAAGATCCTGCTGTGGATGTGCTAGGAGGGTGAGCAGTGACATGTACCATGTGTCACTATTAACTGAAAAGTGCATCCTTCTCCCCTCTGTGCCACAGGCTGGGATGCTGTGGCCAGGATTTGGGGCAGGCAATGAATTCCAGTGGTCAGCATTGCCCACAGGCCAGGCAAGGTGTTCGAGCTGTGGGCATGGGTTTGGTCGATATTCCTGGGGCTGTTCCACTGGTGGCTGGGTAAGCTCAGGGTTTGGTGTGAAGGTCACTGTCACAACCCTGGCACTCCCTGTGCCAAGGTCATCCCTTCGCCAGAGTTCTTTGCACCCTGAGCTGTGACCTGGTCCCAGCCCAGCTCCTCTGCAAGGCCTGGGCACCCCTTCTGCCCTGCCAGCCCTGGGACCCCAGATGAGGTCCCTGCCTGGAGCTGTCCTCCCCACGAGGTCAGCCACATGCAGAGCTTCTCAGAGACACCAGGCCAGGCTGCTTAACTTTGTGCCATGGGGACAGGGCGGCCATGCTGGGACAACCTCACCAGTGATGAGGTGTCACTCTCTGACTTGGCTCTGTCCTCCTGGGGCTTTGTGCTTGTCCTGCATCCCTAGAACAAGGAGAAAGGGCCCCTCAGCATCATCATCCCCCAGCTGGCTTGTGATGGACACGTTGAGGGTCAGCCCAGGGTCAGAAGCTGAATTTACCCTTAAAACTGTGATCTGGGCTTCCTGGTTGGCTTCTGGCCCCTGTGTTTACAGGGAACCAAAGTTGGTGAAGCAATTACATTAAAGTAGACCCAGAGAGGATTCCAGAGCATGTATTTCATGTGCTAATGTTTGCTGGATGACTCCATCCAATAACTCCTCCTCCAGCCCCCGAATTTTACATTTTCTTCCAAAAAAGGTTTCATGTTTTCCCAAGTGTTTGTTTAAATTCCTTGGTGAGCAGCTCTGGCTACTTAAGGTCTGCCTGAAGTCTGTGAGCTCATTTATCTCCAGGGGACTGCTGGAACCATGGGAGGTTATTTTTAAACACTGTCTGGTTTTGGCATTTTTCCTCTCTGTTTTCTGCCTTCCTTGGAGCTGTGGTTGTGTGGGGCAGTTGTCCCATCCCTGCTGCCACCCCAGCCTAACATGAGCAGCTGTGGGTCTCAGCTGGACAATGGAAGGGGTTTATCTCACTGGTTAAGAGAGAACGGTCCCCAGAGAGGGGGGGATTGCTCCTTACAAATTATTGTAGAAATTACTGCACAAATGACTTCTTGAAGTGTTGGTAAAAGGTCTCCAAAACCAGCCCAGGAGCAGTGATCACACCTGGCATTTCCTCTCTGTATTTTCCCTGTGGGGCTGGGATTGCTTTCCAGGGAAAAGCTTTTATCCCATTCAGCTTTTTGCCAGCCCCTTTAGATCAGAAACAGAGCAGGAAGCCTGGTTGGTACCAAGCCTGGCTGCCCTGTCCCTGGGTCTGACTGGGCTCTGCTCCTGTCCCACAGTCCTGGCACAAGTCCTGCTTCCGCTGTGCCAAGTGTGGCAAAAGCCTGGAGTCCACCACCCTGGCAGACAAAGATGGGGAGATCTACTGCAAAGGTGAGCCCCACCTTCCCTGCTGGCTTGTCCTGGGCTCTGAGGGGTGGGGGGAAGACTCCTGTGCAGGGACCCAGGGGGAATGGAGGCAGGGGAAGGGGTGGCCCAACGTCTTTTGGGGACTGACTGTGCCAGCCACAGAGCTGGAGAATTTCCTGCTGAGCCAGGGCCTCTCTGTTTGCCCAACAAATCTGGCAAACCTTGTCCTGTCCTTGTCCAGGGTGTGCCCCTTGGGGAGAACCCGCTCCTGTGCCAGCCTCACCTGTGTCTCCCTTCCATCCTCTGCAGGTTGTTATGCCAAGAACTTCGGTCCCAAGGGCTTTGGCTTCGGGCAGGGCGCCGGGGCACTGATCCACTCCCAGTGAGCTCCAGGGCTGGGCCCTGTGCTCGCCCAGGGCTCGTCCTGTGCTGCCTGCCCACCCCGCACCTCAGTGAGTGCCCCACTGTCACCTCCAGCCACCGCTGCTTCCAGCACCAGCCTCTCCTGCCCTGCCCCGGCGCTCTCCGGAGCTGGGGTGGTCCCAGCATTGTCCCCGTGGGAACAATGTCCTGCTGGGGCAGGTGGCACAGGGGGGCCATTCCCTCCCACTGCAGTGAGGCCCCAGTGCCCAAGTCCTGCTCTGCGTCGCCCATCCTGCCGGCCGCGTGCTCAGCCGTGACACCGAGCAAGCAATAAAACATCAGAGATATCAAAGCTCACCCAGCCTGGCCCTGCCACTTATTCACTGTCTGATGGGCACGGGGTGCCCAGAGCTGGGGAGGTGTTTGCAGTCCTGGCTTGTAATTAAAGCCCAATGGCAGGAATGTGTCAGTGCAGTTTGACATGGCCCAGCTGTGGCCAGCTGAGCTCTGCAGCTCGGCTGGGATGGGCTCCCCATCTCCTCCCACCAAGAATCAGCATGGAATGGTTTGGATTGGAGGAGACCTCAGAGCTCATCTTGTTCCACCTTCAACTACCCCAGGCTGCTCCAAGCCCTGTCGTTGAACACTTCCAGGAACGGGAATAAGTATTGCAAAAGCAGAGGTTGAAGCTGGGAGGCCAAGGACAGCCCTTCTGGGGTGTGTTGGTAGCACCACACGTTGCTCACCCTCTCAAAACCCCTATCAGTGCTTTCAGGTGGCACCTCTCCAAACAGGCGTGCCCAGCAGTGCCAAGTAATTAACAGCTTTTCACCTACACCCTGCTTTTTTAGTAGCTTGTGGATCATTAAGCCTCCAGTTTGGCAGCTGCCCAGGTTTAATTGGTTTCCATCTAAACTCTTCACTCCCTTTCTGTGATTCTCCTGTTGGACCGGTGGGACAGACTTAGATCAGCCTGGCTGCAGCTCAGAGTTAGGGACTCCACAGGGAATTGAGTTGTGGGGTTTTTAAAGTTAAAAACTGGTTGAGCAAATGAGATGGGGAGTGTTCTGAGAAGCACAATCGAGGCAGAAATCCTTTTTTGAGGCAGGACTTGGGCTCCTTTATCAACTTAAGTGTTTTCTCCTGTTCATCACACCCTTGGTTTTACATGGTGTTTTTGAAATGGAGATGGGGAATTAAGTCTTTACCATCTCCAAAAACTTACCCCCCTAGATGCGAGCATGACCCACTGCTCTGGGCTACGTGGTGGCTGTCAGGAGAGGTCTGGTGGCACTTGGTGTGGGGGGCAGACGGCCCAGGCTCAGGTAGGGTTAGGAGCCACAGCACAGAGGGCTCAGGTACCACCCTGGTGTGGAGACCCAAACCTGCCTCTCTTGCTTGGCAGCTCCTGCCGCTCCCCTACATAGCAGGGGGGGATTCTGGAAGCTCCTGCAGAGATGGAGGGGTCAGGAAGCTGTTGCCTTCTCTGTGAGTGTGCAGGGACGCTGTGCTGCTGCTGTGACATCTCAGCTGGATGTGCCCCAGATGGGATCATGCCCAGGTAGTGCTGCTTGGTCAATAAAGCTATAAAGAGTCTTTAGTGCCTTCCTCATGCAGCTGTAGAGGTTCTGTCACAGAGGGGGGAAGGAGCAGGAGCTCCTCTGCTCTGAAGCCAGGCTGGGAGAGCTGGGGATGTCACCTGGAGAAAGCTCCAGGGAGACCTCAGAGCCCCTTCCAGGGCCTAAAGGGGCTCCAGGAGAGCTGGAGAAGGACTTCAGACAAGGGCCTGGAGCGACAGGACAAGGGGGGATGGCTTCCCACTGCCAGAGGGCAGAGTTAAATGGGATTTGGGAAGGAATTCTTGGCTGTGAGGGTGAGGAGGCCCTGGCACAGGGTGCCCAGAGAAGCTGTGGCCATCCCTGGATCCCTGGAAGTATCCAAGGCCAGGCTAGACAGGGTTTGGAGCAACCCAGGATAGTGGAAGTTGTCCCTGCCCATGGCAGGAGTGGAACAGGATGATTCTTAACCTTTCAACCCAAACCAGTCTGTGGTTCTATGAGGTACTGACATTTCACATGTGATGGACCCCAGAGAGCCAATTCTACTGGAGGCCTGGTCAAAGCCAGGAGAAAATGTTGGATTTGGGTTTTGGAGGGCCACAGAAAGATGTAGGTTAGAAGGGACCAGCAGAAGTCTTAACTGCAACCTCCTGCTTAAGGCAGGGCTCCAAAGGTCAGGTAGATGAGAGCATTCACTCAGGTATGGGAACCCTCTAAGAATGGACGTCCCATCACTGTGGATCTTGTCACAACATTGTGCCACACACCCTTGAAAGGGTTGTTCCATCACTGGAAGGGGGGTCAGGTCCTGACATAGCTGCCCAGGGCAGTGGTGGGTGTTCAAAAGACCTGTGGATGTGGCTTATGGGGACATGGGTTAGTGGTGAACACTGCTGGGGGAGTAGTTGGAACTGATGATCTTGTGACCTGGGAGGGCTTTTCAAACATTAATGATTCTATGAATTTCTGATTTTCCTATTGTACCCCTGTGCCTTGTGTCTCATGTCCTTTTGCTAGGCAGGGCTGTGTCTCCCTTCTCCACAATTCTCTAGATTGTGGAAAACTGAAATTCAGCCTCCCCAAGTCCTCTTTTCACCTGCCTAGTGGGTCTCTGCTGAGCTCCCAGCCCCAAAGGTCCCAAGTAAACCATATCCTGGGACTGGGACCATGCTCTGAGGGTTTGCCCTGGGTGCCACACACCTGGTAACCCTGCATTGGTCACTCAGAATGGCTTAGGGAGTGACAGAGACCACTATGGGGACACCAGGATGGGACCATGGGGGCTGCACATCCTGACAGAGGCATGAGGGGGGCTGAAGGAGGTGGTGGGACATGGGCCAGGAGATGCAGGGTGGGACTAGAGGTGCTTTTTTGTTATCTCCTGCCTGAGCTGCAGTGGGACAGCTGTGACCATCTGCTACCCTCTCTTGACCAGCAAGCACAGCCGGACATGTCTGCTCACCTGTGCCCAGGTGTTGTCCAGCTCCCCCTCGAGGCAGCAGAGTCGTGCTGTGCCCAGCAGCTCTCACCCCTCGGGGGCTGCAGCCTGGGAAAGGGGCTGTGGCACCCAAACCTGCCCCTGAAGGGACAAACCAGGAGTTGGCTTGTGGCCAAGCACCCTGGAGCCTGGAGGCAATGACATTTGAGGGGTCGGACTGGAGCCTCTGAGCCCCGTGGCCAGCAGGGCTGTGAGAGGGGATATCAGTCTGTCACCAAACTTTGTGGGAATACCACCTTGGGCAGGTCTGAGCCTGGCAGCCCTGTGACCTGCCCTGAGCGCCCTGTGTGGATGGGATGAGCCATGGGCAGCCCATGGAGCAGAGCCCTTGGTTCACCCACAGCCTGGCACAGTGAGTCCTGCTGGGTTTGCTGCAGGGCAGGACCTGCTGTGTACCCCCCGGGCAGGCTGGCAGGATGATATCCCTGCCTGGTGTGTGTGGGAATGGACAGCTGGGGAGACAGGAGTGGAGAAGGACGTTGTCAAAGCTCCTTCACACACAGGGCTGTGGGACCATCACCTTGCCTTGGTGGCTGGTGCCTGGATAAGCAGTGACTGCAGTGAGCAGAGGGCCGGGGGTCTCGGGCAGGGGTTGGCAGCCCTTGGCTCTCCCCTGGGCTGTGAGGATGGAGCTGGAGCTGGATGGTGAGCCAGAACTGCCCACGGACATCCCAGCTTACCAGAACACTGACAGTCCCGAAACTGCTCCCCCCGAGCTCCCCGGGCTCAGCATCCCTGGAACTCAGCGTTACCCGTGCGTGGGAAAACAGCCTTGCTGGGGGAACCCACACATTTGCTCTGCTCCTTCTGAAGTGCTGGGGTGTTCTGGGTGACCTCCAGGGCAGCCCGACGTCAGGAGCCCGGGTCTCCTGGGACACCCAGGATCTCTGCCAGCGTGGCGAGGTTGGCCCCAGGGAGCACGAACCAGTTCCTGGCTCCGCCAGCCGCCCTGCCCTCTTAATGAGGGATAATGAGGTGCATCTCATCAGCGCTGCAGACTTGCCCCCTGGCTACGGCGGCTGCCGGCAAAGCCCCCGGCAGGGACCGGGAGTGATGAAGGGGCTGGGATAGGAGGGACCCCAGGCGGGGGCTCTGCGGGGCTGGGGTCTGAGGGGGGTGGGAGCTGGGACAGCGCCGGCGTGCCAGGGAGCCAGGGGCTGATCCAGCCCTTGTCAGTAACCCCGGCATATTCCCGGGGGGATTTCTTCCCTTTGCAGACCTCACCTGGGTGAAGGACCCACACTCACAGCGTGTGCAGGTGCACATTCGGCTGCCCAGCCACCTGTGACCGTCACTCACCCTGGCAGCCCACGGGCAGCACAAGTCCCCAGATGTGTCCCCCGGCAGCCCGGCCCGGCCCGGGGAGCCCCTCGGTGCCAGGCGCTGGCACAGGAACAGACGGTGCTGTGGTGGCCGGGAACGAGACGGGCTGGAAAGGAGACAGGAGAAAGGCTGCAGGGGAGGGAGGGAGGATCAGGCAGGACCAGGCTGCACTGCCCCGGCCCCGCTCCACGGCTCCTTCCCCCTGTACAGGTCACACGAGGCTGGGGGATGCTGCTCCTTGCTGTGGGACAGCATGGGGGCTTCAAATCTCTGTCCCAGAGGCTTTGAAGGGTGGGAGCTCTGTGTGCTGAGAGGTGGCCCAGCACCTTGGGTGAGTGGCTGGGGGTCTGTTCTCTGCTTTTGTCTCCTCTCCTGGGCTGTACTCGGGGTCCCCACAGCCCCTGCCTGGCTAGTGCTGCATGCAGAGCCCACTGTCCCAGCTGGCACGGCACCTAAGAAGCCCCGGCACTGCAGCCAGCCCACTGTGCCTCCTTGGCTGACACTGCAACCCCCTTCCCCCCAGCCCGGTGGCACTACACTCTGTACCCTTGCCTAGCTGGCATTTTACACAGAGCCCCCTGCCCAGTCAGCCCGGTGCCCCACAGCCCACTGTCCCCAGCAGCACAGCACAGCACAGCACAGCACCCTATAGCCATGTGCCCACGGGGCTGCACCCCCAACAGCTGGTGCTGCACCCCCCAAGAGCTGCTCTTGCACCTCCACAGCATCTGTCCCTGCTCAGCGCCTCAGCCCTGCCCCATCCCACACCCGCCTGTTCACACCAAGACCCTGAGGCAACGCCTGCCCTCGGGCAGCCCAAAAGCTCCTCCCGGGTGAAGCGGGGCTGCGCCGGGCCTGGCCGGGCTTCGCCTGGGCGTGAAGGGAGCGTGAGCACAGGAGGGGCCAGGCGAGGCGGCAGGAATGCGAGTGGGAGAGCGGCCGGGCAAGTAGCGACAGCTCCTGCGAGCGCGGATCCCACACGCGGCTCGGGCAGGGAGCGGAGCCCTGCTCGGGGCTGGTGCACAATGGGGCACCCCACGGCTCAGCCCCTCTGAGAGCCGGAGCGCAGGGCGGCGAGGCCCGGGGACAGCGCGGCCACCGCGGGGTCCCGGCCCGGGGAGCTCGGCCCCGGCGGGGAGCGGCTGAATTCCCCCGGCGGGGAATGCCCGGCTGGGCCGGCACGAGGGGCTGAGGATCCCGGCGGGCCCAGGAGCCGCCATGACGCCCGAGAAGGTGCTGAGGGAGGGGGTGCTGGAGAAGCGGAGCGGGGGGCTGCTGCAGCTCTGGAAGAAGAAGCGGTGCCTGCTGACGGAGAAGGGGCTGCAGCTCTTCGAGCCCAAGGGCTCGCGGCGCAAGGAGCTGAGCTTCGCCCGTATGAAGGCCGTGGAATGCGTGGAGTGGAAGGAGAGGCATATTTACTTCACGGTGGTGATGGACGACAGCCTCGAGATCGATTTCCGCTGCGCGCAGGAGGACCCGGGCTGGAATGCCGAGATCACCATGGGGCTGGTGCGCTTCAAGAACCAGCAGGCGATGCAGGAGGTGCGCGCCCGGCACAGCTGCCGAGCAGGTACCGGAGCCACCGCGGGCCAGGGAGCAGGACCCAGCCCGGGATGAGGTCCCTGGCCGCAGGTTCCTATGCTGGAGTGGTTTGGGGAATCACGAAGGGGGTCCGATGGACTGGGGTGGTTCTGCAGGTTGATGTTCCCATGTGCCCCCTGCACTGGCTGGGATACCCCATGGGTTTCACCTCTCTATCCCTGGACAGGGACTTTCTAACATCATCCCTCTGTCCGGGGTGGCCTGAGGGGTATGGGGCCCTATGCCATCCTGCACGTGGGATGGGGTGTGGATGGTGTCCGGCCCCACTCCCCAGGCCCCTCAGGATGCCCAATGTCCCAGTGCTGGCTGAGCAGGTGACAGGAGCCTTCTCTCTGCAGTGGTGCAGCTGGACACAGCCCCGGTGGGACAGCCCGGGGAATCACAGCTTCCCAGGAGTCGGATGGAGATGGCCCTTGGCTCGGCAGGTGCTGGAGACAACGGGATCCCTGCGGGCAAGTGAGGTCACCGCTGTGCAGCCAGGGGACAAGGAGAGTGGCCCCAGGGACGCTGGTGCTGGCACTGGCTCCCCCTGTGCTGGGGCAGGACAGAAGCACCGCAAGAGCTGGGCTGGCACAGCCACCTCTCCTTGGCACAGCAGGGCAAAGGACACAGGCAGGGCCACCACCTGGTGCTTCAGACAAGGCAGGAGGTGACATCCCTGCCTGGGGCTGTGCACCCTTCATTCAGCTGGCATGTGCAGACCTAGGTGCACTAGTGGGGACCCCAGGCCTCTCCTGCAGGACAGGGGATGGATGAGGCTGTCCCGGAAGGATCCATGCCACAGGGAGCTCTGCCTGTGTGACACTGACACTGGGACAGATATATGTGGCTGAATTTAAAAAGGGGCTGCTGGAGAGCTGCTGCTGCTGCAGCTGCAGCAGGGACCTCTCAGCAGGGCACTGAACCGACGGTGTGATGACACAGCAGTGTTGCTGGACATTGTCTCACCCTGGGATGTCCTTGGGCTGTTGGGGGATGCTGGGGACCCCAATTCCCTGTACCAAAAGTGTCTCTAAACAGGACTTTCAGCTTCTTACTCTAGTGTTGCTTTGATTTGTGGGACCCCAGAGCACAGGAGAGCACAAATCCTGCACAGAGCTTTGCCAATCATGACCCCTAAACCATCATCCCCTAGTCGGGCTTAAAAGTCTCCCCGAGGCTCCGTGGTCCCCAGTCCTGCTGCGCCCAGGGGTTCCCACGGTGGTTTGTGTGCCAGGGAGAGGGAGCAGCGCTGTGGCTCTGCAGCAGGGAAGGGATGGCCCTGCCCCGACAGGCAGCGCAGACAGCAGCGCCTGGAGCCACCAGCACGCTCCGCAAGCCGGAGCCTGAGCCCAGCCCGGGGCCGGAGGCGCTGTGGATCCTCCAGAGCTCTCCCGGCCGCGTGGGAACCACGGAGAACGGTGTCCTTATGTCCTTAAGCCCCGGGCTCCGGCAGCTGGGCCCAGCCTGCACCCCAACCTGCCCCTCAGCCTGCACACCCCATCCTGCACACCCCAGCCTGCACCCCAGCCTGCCCCTCAGCCTGCACCCCAACCTGCACCCCAACTGTACCCCAGCATGCACAGCCCAACCTGCACCCCAGCCTGCCCCCCAGCCTGCACCGCAACTTGCACACCCCAGCCTGCACCCCAGCCCCCACCCCAACCTGCCCCCCAGCCTGCACTCCAGCCTGCACACCACAGCCTGCACTCCAGCCTGCACCCCAGCCTGCACTCCAGCCTGCCCCCCAGCCTGCACCGCAACTTGCACACCACAGCCTGCACTCCAGCCCCCACCCCAACCTGCCCCCCAGCCTGCACTCCAGCCTGCACACCACAGCCTGCACCCCAGCCTGCACCCCAGCCTGCACCCCAGCCTGCACACCCCAGCCTGCACCCCAGCCTGCACCCCAGCCTGCAC